TCTGCCTTTTTGATGTCCAAAACACGAATCCCTGGTCTCTCTTTGCATTTTACCCGGCCGGGTATTTTAACTCCTGGCCGAGTATTTTGCTCTTCCAGCGCCCTTCACTCCAGTGTCCTCCTTTGAGATGATTTGAGTATCCCTTTCATGATTTAAGCTTAGATTCACCCATAGAAGTGGCAGACGATGACTTTGATAAGATTATTAGTGTTTGCACAATAATTTCTACCACAACTTCCTTTTTCATCTCTCTTGCCATGGAGTAATCTCCCTCTTCACTTGGGTATGAAGAACCCTAGTTCTGGATGTTAGGATAAGGTTGTATGAACTCTTGAATTGTTAAATTGATTTATTATATTCAATGGAGGCATTATTTAAAATTGATTGAGTCTTAATCACATTCTTTTTATTACTACTTTAACCTAGGAGAAAATCTCATATTAGGTTAAGAGAGCAACTTCAATTGGAAGTAGTGAGTCAGTTGTGCGAGTAGTGAATCAATTCACTGCTATGTACTGGAATACACTCCAGTATAGGAGGTCTATTTGCATTGCCTTGGGAGTTTAGTCCGGTTGAGGATAATCTCCCTCCGGTTGATCTGTTTAAGAGGGCTTGGTTTGCTTTAGTCGGGATTCCCCGCTAATACGGGATCTTTAGTAGTATAATTATCAGTAGAAGCGGCCTAAGCAGGTTTGGACACAATGCTTAGGTCGCTGCTACTGGAACAAGTACTTTCTTACTAGGTTGCGTTGTTTGGAAACTAATCAAATTACCGTCATTTCACGGGTAAATGAGTTAGGCGCTTCTTTACCAACTCAGTGGGTGCATATGCAAGTTTGGACACAGAATTTTGAAGCCTACTTTAGGGCTAAAAATGCACGGCGCTAGGATTGGGAAGGCCAAGTAACCGTGATGATTCAGGGTCGTGGAACCGCACCTGTACCTTCCGCATCAACATCACAGGAATTCTCCATGGATGATTCTCAAAATTTCTGGTGCACGACTCCCTCAATCATACAGGTGAAGCATAATTGCTTGTTTCTACGCCTAGCTCGAAGGCACAAAAGAGAGAGCACTTCTAAGGAGGCAACCATTGTCTGGCGTCTAACTTAAAGACGTTAAACAAAAGTACTAACGGGAGATAACCTGATATGTTTTTGTCATTGTTTTTGTACTTAGGCCAATCATCAAGGAACTAGCTTGTCGGCTTGGATTTTCAACAATATGGTAGCTTCATTCTACTTTTTCTTACCTCATTGTTCGGTCCAATGAGGACATTGTCCCATTTTCAAGTGTGGGATGAGATTAGGTAGACTAGTTTTCATTTGATATACCATGCTCAGATTGTTCATGCATATGGGAAAGGGTGCTTCCTACCCAAACACGTAAAAATTGCACAAACCTAGCTTTGGAGGAATTTTTCTGCTTGTCACTGCCATTTCACGCCCATTAGCTTGTTCACGGCTCGGTTTATAGTTGTGGCTTGGGCCGTGAACTGCCCGACAATTTTATTCTCAATTCGTAAAAATGGGAAAGATTTTTTGTGTATGTATTTGCATAGAAAATTAGAAAATCTCGAGTAATGCTACATACCCAAAGCAAATGCGAAAATCGTCATACTTTGAATTGCTAGTCTCTGCGTTAATACGTGATCTAAGTGAGGCTACTGTACGGGATATGAAGGTTGACCTTGTCATGAAACTTGAATCCATCTTCAAATAAAAACTTACGGATTGGTGTTTCCTGCAATTCCTTTTGAGTTCTCGAACTCCTCCTCCAAAACAAGGAGTCTTCTGCACTTAAAGTGAAAATAAGATCAATATGTAGCTTCGTACATTCGATATCCTACCACGTACGGTTTGCATCAATAGACGATGCCACGGCAAATAATGTGTCCGGTAAAAGTCAAGTGTGAGGCATCCTATCCTTGGTTTTGGAAGAGATACTAGTTAAACCTATCTGGTAGCAGCGGCCTAAGCACCGCTGTAACTTAAAACCAAGTGGTGTAGTCTCGTCCATGGAATCAAGGGGTATAGGTTTATTGCCCTTGTTCTAATACCGAAAAGGAGGCCAAGTTGGAGATTTGAGGTCCACTCGGTAACTCACAATATGGTCAGCAATGCACGTGATGTATCCTCCCATCCACAGTTGCCTACATGTGGTGTTGCTCAGCTTAGTGAATGCTTGGACAAGAAGCCACCCGGGGTGTAGCCAACAATGTTCAAAAATGGCTTGAAAAAATGTCATCTCCAAGGCAAGATTCGATCTCTTCATTCGGTGGGGCGAATGAAAAGAGTGATCCGCCCAAAAAAAAAAATGCAAGAAATCTCCTTGGTGCTCGACCGAGCAATATGGGCGAATCGGGGAAGGACTTGTGGCACGGAAAGGTCGAGATGGAGGAGGAGGGGGAGAGAGCGTTGCGGGGGAAGTGGTATCTTTTTTGTTGTTGATTTCGGGAGGAATTGGAGGAGAATTTGCCGTTGGAGAAGATGTTGTCCTCGTTGAGCTCGTTGTCCTCAGCAGAGGCGAGGACGTTGTCCTTGTAGTGGTGGAGCGGCAACGGACTGGTGGTGAAGAAGGCGCTGAGGAAGCGGCTGGAGGAAGGATGGATTTGCGATGGTAGAGTGGCGGAGAAGAAAGTTGTACTTTCTCTTTGTCATTGGCTTTCTCCAATTCGGGAAGGGCTGGGTAATTCAGGAAGGTGGTGGGTAAAGAGCTTCTTATGACCGCTTGGGTTGTACGGGTTAAGTGGGGTGATTAACTAATTTTTTATTTAATATTTTTGATGACGTGACATACTGACTGGGCAAAAAGTAATGGAGTTTTGGACGGAATTGAACGGATTGGCCATTTCGTTATTCACTCTAACTTGTTTTACCAAGACGTACAAAAGTAAAAATTGTGACAGTGTTGTACAAAAAAGTGAATATGTTCCATGTTGATAATTACCCGACCCATTATGGCCACGGGTATGCGTATGAGTGTCAAGGATGGTTGTGATACTCATTTCTGGACCGATCGATGGATTGACTCTGGGGAGATCCTTCTTGACTATGCGCGTGAAGATGATCCACCGGTTGATCCTTCCCTGCGGGTTGCGGATTTCGGCACTGCTACCGGTGAGTGGAACCTGCCTCTCCTTCGTTCTGTGTTGCCCGAGGATATGGTTTTGCAGGTTCAAGGGATCCAGCCTCCCCTGCCGGGCTCAGGAGTCGGCATAGCAACGTGGGGACCAGAACCGGATGGGCGTTTTCGCGTGAAGTCAGCCTACGCCAATGCAACCTGCTGTGATGACATGCAGTTGGACGTGGACTGGCGGCGAGTATGGCATTGGCGTGGCCCAGCTCGGGTGAATCTTTTCCTGTGGTTGGCGGTTCATGGACGTCTGCTCACCAACCAGGAGAGGACGCGGCGGCATCTTACCAGCTCTCCACATTGCCTCCTCTGCAACGAGGGTCCTGAGGCCGAGACACTCATGCATGTGTTGCGGGACTGCCCCTTTTCATGGTTAACTTGGAGCAAGCTCCCTCAGCTTTCTGATCAACATCGCTTCTTCGACAGTACGACTCAGGATTGGATTATGAAATTCATCAGTGACCAGCAGCATGACTTGCTCTTTGGGATCCTTTGTTGGTCCATCTGGGGGGGCAAGGAATTACTGGGTCTTCGCAGGCAAGGTCATAACCAGTGAAGTCTTTCTATAGCGCGTCCTGGCATGGGTTAATGTAGTGCAGAGTGTCATGGACAAAGACAGGCTCGTCCACATGCCTAGTCTGGCCATTAGAACGGAGGTGGGGATCTCGTGGCAACCGCCACCTCCCGAGTTGGTGGCTCTCAACTCTAATGGTTCCGTCCTTACCACATCAGGCCAAGCAGCTCTCAGTCTAGTGGTACGCTACCATTAGATCCACTCTCTATCTTGGTTTTTCAAATTAACAGTCTAGATTAAAAGAAGGCTATTTTTGGAAGAGAAAAACTTACAACACAGGATCCTTTCTCATTTTCTATATAATCTGATTTCCTTAAAATAAACTCTTTCTCTCTCCCCTCTCTCTTTCCTCTCTCGAGAACCCTAACTGCTCTCTGTCTCTCCCTTCTAGCGCCGACGCCACCATCTCTCCCTCCCGCCGCAGCCATCACCACTGCCGCGCCATAACGCTCTCCCCGTCGCAGCCCTCTCGCCTCCCTCCAACTCCTATCACCGCCATCTCTCTCCCGCCGTCCTCCTCTGCCGCCTCCGCGAGGTAACGACCTCTCCCCTTCCTTCTTCTTTCCTCATTCCTTATTTTTTCCAGATTCCAGATCTTGTTTTTTTATGTTATTCTCTAGTGGTACTGATTTCTGTCTAGTGGTACGCTACCAGTGGTAGCGTACCAGTACTCAGTGGTAGCGGTACCAGTGAGTAGCGGTATCAATGAGTAGTGGTACTGATTTCGGTCTAGTGGTACGCTACCAGTGGTAGCGGTAGCGTACCAGTACTCAGTGGTAGCGGTACCAGTGAGTAGTTGTACTGATTTCTGTCTAGTGGTACGCTACCAGTGGTAGTGGTATCGTACCACTAGTCACTGGTAGCGGTACCAGTGGTAGTGGTAGCATACCACTACTCACTGGTAGCGGTACCAATGGTATTTGTAGCGTACCACTAGTACGTACCACTTCTACTGGTAGCGTACCACTAGATGAAAATCAGTACAACTAGCGCACTGACAGAGTGGTTTTTTTACAGATGGCCAGAGTGAGTCTGATTGGAGGATTTCACTGGAAAAAGTCGTCGGCCGTATGACTGTCAAGATCTTTCTGAGTTGCGTTTTGTGGTGAATGAAAGCTAAGATGCTCTACTTCCATTTATAAAAAAATAATTACCCGACCCAAGAACGAACACAAAAGAGAGATTATTATCGCTGGGGTTCTGTTGTTGTCGTTTCCCTTCGCCTTCAGCGGCGGCGTTATTCTCTACCGCCATACCCACCTCTAACTTCAGCTCGGCTTTGGTTCCGCAGCCAAGCGCTCGCTTCCTCCCTTGCGCCTCGAGAAAACGAAGGATCAGTTCAGAAGGAAACCCTCATCTAACCAGCAAACTCGGAGACAATGTCCTCATAAATATTCTGATTCGCCTCCCCGACCCTAGATCCGCCTGCCGATGCAAAATCGTTTGCAAGCGGTGGAGCTCACTGATCTTCAGTGTCAGCTTCAATCGCCTATTCGTTTCCCACAACCAGAGCAAGAGCGCACCGCCCCTGCTTGTTCCCTCATACGGCTCCTCGCCCTCCATCTTCTTGACCTTCCTCCCTATGGATCGTCAAGTTCGTTACCGTCTCAAGGTTTTTGATTCCTTCAAGGATTTGATTTTGTGTGGGTTTGCTGATACATATACTCGTAATAGCCTATGGGGCAGATCGTTCCTGGTCTGCAATCCTTTTACGAAGTAGTGAATCGGCCTTCCTTCAGCTCCTACAAGATCTGAAGGTTATGATGGATTGGTCTCGAGTTTAGTTTGCCAACCCCTCAAGTCTATTGATCTTGAACTAGGAGATGGTCAGACATTTGTTTATTCCTCCGAGTATAGGTTCCGGGTAGTCTGTTGGTATCAGGTGGGTCAGTCTATGTTTCTAGACATGTTTTGTTAGGAGTCGAAACAATGGACGAGCAAGGCTCTTGTCCTTGATGGCTTTACAAGACTCCAGCCTACATATCCATATGTAATTTCGTGGAACCAGGAGTTGATTTGGGCGTTTCGTAAACCCGAAGCTACAGCTACTCCGGTGCTTACAAAATTCAATCCTTTCCGCCTTGATATACCTCCCGTTCATACCGACCTCGTACCTAGATTATTGTCTTCGCTGGTCCGGTGGAATGTTTCGGTTTCACAAGGTGGTTTTCACATAGTTGAACTTGTTGGTGACCCTTCAAAGTTCAAGGGTACGAGTAGAGGTGGCAAATGGATTGGATTGGTGGATTGGATTGGTGGATCCATGGATCAAATGGATTGGATCTAATGGATTGGTGGATTCATGGATTGGATCAAGTGGATTGGTGGATTATCCATGAATCCAAATGACATCCTCAACCAAGGACCAATATGTAAAATGTAAAAAGTTTAAGTACTAAAATGTCACAATAAAAAATTTTAGGTACCAAAATGTAATTTTCCAATGATAATTTTCGTATAAAAAATTAAATTTTAGGTACCAAAATGTAAAAAATAAAAATTATAGGTACTAAACCGTAATTTGCCAATGATCCATGGATCCAATCCATGAATCCACCAATCCAATTGGATTTGGATCAAATGGATTGGATTTAAATGGATTGGATTAGGTGGATATTTTTAATGGATTGATGGATTGGATTGGTGGATTGGATTGAAATTGCCACCTCTAGGTACGAGCGCTTGTTTGGAGACTACAAGAATACGGTAAGTCCTGGAAGCGTCGTCATCGAGTTTTGTTGAAGATATCTTCAGGGTATGACTGGTGTAAGTATGAGCTCGACACTTGTTTAGTAATTGGTATGCACCCATCGGATCCAGAAATTCTCTTCTTGCACCATGTTTGTTTTGATGGAATAAGACACGTGATTGGGTCTTGCGATTTGAGCAACGGAGAGCTAGGGTCCTTTCGTGATTTTATTCCTGGTTGGAGGATGTTGCAGCCTACATTCTCTTGCTGGCCTACTCCAATTCCACGGTTTAAGGAATTGCGAGCTATGTTTGATGGAAGCAACACCTGTTGGTTCATCGGAGCAGCCGATAAAAATTCCTTGAGGACTGGTAAGTACTCATGCCTGTCAAAATTTATCTTTTAGATTTTGAAACTCACTCATGGAAAGTTTGTTTTCCTCTCATTTTTCTTTATGTTTTCTAACCTTATCTCTCTCCTCAATTCTAGATTTTCGTCTCTACTTGAATGCTTGTGCTGAGAAGGCACCGGTGTTCTTCTTATAGCATTGGATGCAACATCAAACATTCTTCTTATATCAGGTGGGTCTCTACTTGAATGCTTGTGCTGAGAAGGCACGGTCTCTTAAGGCCTTGAACTAAGTCATAAATCGTGAACCGCGAAGCGTCCAACGCGATTTCTTAGGTTACTGACGCCGACTAAGTTCACGGTCACCAAGACCGTGAACTTTGAATGCAAACCGTGAACTCAAGTGAGTGAAGCGTTGCGTTTCGACACAGCACTCCGAGTTCTCGGCCGTGAACTGAGCCCGATCCCAGTATATGACGTGAGCTGCAAGGAAGAGAGAGAGAGGGAGCCCAAGTGTGAGAAAGGACGAACCAAAGAAGAAAGGAGGCTAGGGTTTGCTCCAAGTGGTGAATTGGGAAGAATCTCCTCAAGAGAAGATCACCACAATATCAAAGGAGAGTGGAGGCATCACCATGATGGTTTCTACTTCTTTCTTTTGTGTTCTTCCCCTTTGTAGCATGGAGTTGTTTTCTTTTTCACTTGGGTGTTGTGAAACCCTAACTATTTGTCATGTAGTTGTGTGAATTGAATGATTGTTTATAAGTGTTGTTTAATTTAATGATTAAGGTATTTTTTCTGATGATTGTGCATGTTTGTGCTTAGCAATCTAATTCCAAAGAGGCTCAATTGAATTGGGATTCCTTGGGCTTATAAAGATACCTACCTAGGTTAATGTAGGGCAAACCTCTATCTTGAATTAAACGACTAGGTTAATCGTGATTAAGCCGTCCAACCATAGGTTTGAGGGAGAAGGCAAGTGAAACCCAGTTGCCTTAACCAAGAGGGCTACTCTAGTAGCCTATAATGTATCCCTTGGTTTGGCAATTGAGAGTGTGGTCTTCGACCAGAGTTGCACTTCCTAGCGGTTCACGATTGCCTCACCCATAACGATCTGTTCGAGTCCATGATACATGGTAGTAGTTAGGGGGAAGCGACACCCGAGTGATCCTTCTCATCTAGAGCTTTCAAACCATTTACCTTTGCTTTGTTTTAATTTAAACCTCATAGTTTTCAACCAAAAACCAATCCGCTTAGTAATGTTTCAAAAAATGGAAGTAGGGTTACAGGGACCGGCCCGTGTTGATATTTAAACATACTTGCCCTATATTGCACCCATCTAATGTTTATACTTGGGCCTTAGGTGGGATTTAGTTGTGATGTTCGGGATGAGTCAGAATCCCAAGTTATTCCCACCACCTTTTTCCAAGGCCGATACCACAAGTTTTGTATCGGGACCGAATTTCATCCACTTTAGTATTTTTTCCTTTTCTTTTTCTTTTTTATTGAGAATGATCACAATTGAACCCAAAAACAAGGGTACCCTAACTTGAACCCAAATTATAGCCTTTTCGCACCATTTCTCAACCCAACTTGAAACACTTTCGGTGGAATCCTGAGTTGTTCTCTTCCACCCTTTGCAATGGCCGCGACCAAAGATTCATACTAGATATGCTCTGTCCAATTAATATATTAATATTAATTAATATATAAAAGGCTAACATTGGAGTTACTGTTCATTAGTTGCTCTCACATTAATTATAAGAATAATATAATATATGGCTAATACCAATAGGAAACCCGAACTATTAACTTTGTGTCATTTGTGTCCTAAAGTATTCGATATGACAATTGTGTCCCAAACTATTTTTCCGTTATGGTTGACTGGCGTTGACCGTTAGTTTTAAACAGAAAATCTAATCAGCGCTGATGTGGCATCTAACGTGGAAATTAAAAGGAAAAAATAACAAAAAATGGAAATTAAAAGAAAAATAAACAAAAAGTGGAAAATTCGTTCACTTTCCCAAATTGGCTTTTCCGCTCCCTGTACTCCTCTCCCCGATTCGTCTCCAAGCTCCACTTCCACGGCGGATCTAACGAAGCTAAGGGATGCAATGATTCCGCCACTTCTCGTTCACTTTCCTCTTTCGCCTCTACATCATCCTCGTCGCAGTGGTCGGCGATTGATTGTTGTCGTCGTTCTCCAGATCTCTCACTGCTCCAAACCTCTCAATCTCTCTGTCATCATCGTTGGGTCTCGCCAAGTAACAGGGGATTGCGACGAAAGTCGCTTGTGGTCGGTGACAGAGGGGAAGTCGCCCGCCGACTCCAAATCTACACTCCCAGGTTTGTATTGTAGTGGAAGAGTCGGAATTGACACTGGGATTCAAATCAAATTGAAGGGTCGGAAGATTGTTGATTTCGTCTGCGAGAGTTCATTGAATCAGACTAGGGATTGAATTTGAGTTGTGAAATTTTGGCCTCGATTGACTTGAATTGAAAGTTTGATTTTACCTATTTTGTTCTTCAACTCCGAGCGGCGTCGGCGGCGATGAAGAAGTTCCGAACAACAAAAACGACGGGTCTTCTTCCTCTACGACGTCGTCATCTTCAATGGTTGTGCCCAAACCGATGGAGGGACTGAAAGACTCTGGTCCTCCCCATTTCCTGAAGAAGACTCGCGTCGATTGGAGCGGGGAGCTCTGTCAGAGAAGAAGAAGTAAACCAGAAGGAAGGGATTCACGTCGGTTGGAGCTGGAGCTCTGCCGGAGAAGAAGAAGTCGACGAGAAGGAAGGGATTCACGTCGATTGGAGCTGGAGCTCTACCATAGAAGAAGAAGTCGACGAGAAGGAAGGGATTCATGTCGATTGGAGCTCTGCCGGTTCAGAAGAAGATGAAGAAGAAGGGATTATTTTTTATTTTAATTATTAATTTTAATTTTAATTTAAAAATAACAATCTGATGTGGCAGCTGACGTGGCGCATATGTGGCTGCCACATATGTGCCATGGAACCAAAAGTCAACATTTTATGGTTGACTGTTTGGTCAACCGTTATCTATAACGGTCAACAAAATTGTCAGGACGTAAATGACACACAACTATCATACGTCAGGACACAAATGTCGTATCGAATACTTTAGGACACAAATGGCACAAAGTTAATAGTTCGGGTTTCCCAGTGGTATTAGCCCTATAATATAATATATAAAAGCCTAACATTTGAGTTACTATTCATTAGTGGCTCTCACACTTCTCCAAGTGCAAGTGGGGAAGTTCCAAATCCTTCTTTTATCTCACTCTCCATTCAACAAACTTTGTGTTTGGCTATTGTTCGCTAGGTTTACTTCTAATGTCCATTGTGTTTCCCATAATAATTATTGCCTACTAGGTTTTCAAATCCCTATTCCAACAATTATTCACTAGATTTTTCGTCTATGGTTTTTTGCATGAATCATCTCCTTTGCCCACCATTTCACAACCTATCTCGAAATACTGTCGGTGGAATCCTAAGTTATTCCCCACCACCGTTTCCCAAGGCCGCTACCACGAGTTTTGTATCTGGACCGAGTTTCATTCTCTTTAGTTTCTTTCTTTCTGATAGCATCGTATTTGCACATGTTTGCACTCTTGTTTCCTGACCATTTTAGCTCCAATTTGTGGTTTCTTGTTCTATTTTACGCTAGG